GGGTAGAGGAATCATAGCAGAGACAGAAAGCTGAGAGAAGTACTGATTAATAGTTTTGATGTGCTTATCAGCTTGTCTTTTTTGTCGTCCTCGGGGGAGGAACAGAGCTCGCTCTCGCTCATAGCAACTGCTGTGTGAGTAACTGATCACTCACTAATGTGGCTGACTAGTTGACAATTTCTCAATAACAGAGGTGGCCTTGGCTCGTGCAAGCTCCTTTAACACATCGCAGGCTGCCCACACACCCTCTGGCATACACTCACACAAGCTTCTTCAGAAAAAAAAACAATACACGATGCCCGTGTACACCATGTCAGGCTTACAAACACACACACACACACACACACACACACACACACTTCTGCCTGTGGCATTAAGGCCATCCTGCCACATCTAATAAACTCTGAGGATGGATTCAGTAGGCCATGGCATGGTGTCCACTTTGCTCTGCTTAGGCAGCATCTGTCCTAAGCCTGATTTTCGACGCGTCTGCTGTGTGTCTCGGGATGCGTAATCTGGGACTTCTTATGGCTCTTTCAATTTGCCACAATTAACTTCCACCGATTTCAGTTTTGTCTGTAAGGAGTCAGTGCCATTTCGTTCCATATTCAACAGCTCACACGTAAAGACATTTCCACTTTAAGAGGGAATAGCTCTTTCAGGCGACCTGGTGTGACAGCAGACAGGGGGAGGCTGGGTGTGTTGGTGTCTCACCAGAATCCTGTCCTCTGTTTTGCCGCTCCTGGTGTCTTGCTTAATGGCTCGCACAAACTTAATGGCCTGCTTGTCCAGCACCTTCCTGATGCTCTCTAGAGAGAAGGGCAAAGGGAAAAAAGGGTAAAACAGGAGAGCTAATTACATAATGTAAGACAGAATGAAAAGCGCTGGCCATGAGTTGCACTCAGAAACACTGTAAAAAGCTTTTAAGAGGCAAATCAATGAATTCAAATATACAGCTGGGTGATGAATGAAAAGAAAAAGCCTGAATAAATGAGGAGAGAAAGATTAGGGATGCTTTGATTTTGTCTCTCAATACTAATTCTGATGCCTTGAATCAGGATGTTGGGTGATAACAAGTACTGCTCCAATACCAGGGCTCTTTTTACCCCTCACTGCAGGGATCCGACATGTAACGTAACAAAGCTAGAAGTCACTATTGATGTAGTGACATCAGCCGACTACAACAAATGAACAGAAAGCAATAGAGCCCCTGCTGTGACATCGCTTTTAAGTGACAAGAGTGAATAATAACTGCTAGCAAATATTGATAAACAAGACAATACTGTGCACAAGGGGGCTGCTGTGGTGCTCAAAATTCTGTCGACAGCCCAGTGTGACTGTGTACGAGTGTAGTCACTGAGTTCTATAGTCGCAGTGACTGAAAAGCAGATGTTGGCGTGTATTGATGCTGACCGTATGGATCTGCACATTGCACCTATAGGAGATTTCGTCAGACAGCGCTCTCCGCCGCCATTGTCAAAACACTGAGAACTGACTTTTCATTGGCAGATACAACTTGCTCAAGGTCAAGAATGAACTGTCAAGCTCAACATTTCAGCCAAACAAGTCAAAGCACTTTGTCAATTCATCTTTTAGGCGATCAACAGCAAATTAATTGGCAATGACTTTGATCATTTAAGTCATTTAAGTCACTTTTTGTTTTCTTAGCCTTATATGATGGTAAAATGGAATATCTTTGGATCTTTGAGAGTTGATTGGACAAAACAAACAACTTGAAGACATCATTTACGGATCTGGAACATTTTTCACAATTTCCTCTAATTCTATACACCACACAATTGAGAAAATATTGTTAGTTACACTTAATCAAAACAAGTAAGCGGCCATTGAGTTAAAGAATAATGTATATCCCTCTGGTAGAGGTCCAAACACTTCTAGGGGAATTTTACACACTAAAATCTACTACTGCATATGTGAATAAAGTTGTAAGAAGGCTTTTGTGGCTCCAGAGGGTGTCAGTTGTGGCTGAAGACTGAAAAGATTATAGGGATGTGGAGTTAGAAAGAAGTGAAATACAACAGTCCTCTGCAGCCCCGCTCCTCATCTCTGCTTGAGGCTAGCAGCTCGAGGCTAAATCAGCCGCTAACACATTCCACAATAACACACATCACACATAACATGAAACCCCCCGATGAACAGTAAGCGGCTGACTTACGCTGTGGGCATAGTAGGCACCAGGTTTTGAAAGGAAGAAGAACGCATGGAGTAAAAAAGAGGATATCTCTGGTTGTGCTGCATTGATTTTTATTTTATTCCTACCGTCCGTGAGTCCCACAGTACTGCAATGCTAAACCAGTGAAGTACTCTTTTAAACAAGCTATGCCAGGAGTACTGAAGTTGTTCTGGAAGATTTTAATGGCCAAAAATCATCGCACTAAAGACACTATGTTGGGTTTTCTTTTATTTTGTCACCCACCTGTACAACATTGTGCAATTAGACATCAGACTATGAGGAAACCAGCAGGTGACACTTTTTGGACATGGCTGAATGGAACAGAATCAGTGACTGTTATCGGAGAGGTTTTGTTCGAAGCCTTCCATCCAAATGAGGTCTAAAGGTCCTGAATGTATCTGCGTATTAGAAAGCATGCCCATATTCCAGTCCAATCACCGTGTTGGAGCTAATTATGCCGTCTTTGTGTTTTGTCTTTGACTTTCAAGCTTAGGGATAGACTGGTGGATTATTCCTTTAAAGACAGCTGCACAGGGGTGACCAGTCACAGAGACAAGAAGACAGCTACAAAGACACAAACATGAGGACAGGCAGACAGACACACACACACACTTACACACACTTCACACACACACACATCCTCTAGCTGAAGAGGACTCATAACTGGGCTATTTTTAGCCTCAGAGAAATCAGCAGCCCGGCTCATCTCAACGGAACCGACCACAAGACCCAGAGCTGCAATCTTTAGGGGCCTCCACTCCACCACACGACCCTGCCGAAGCTCACTGAACCGCACCGGAGGCCTCCGCCATTTACATCTCCTCCACAACAACCAGCAAAACACAATCTACATCCCCAGACTGCAAACACACACATACACCTGCAAGCTGTGCAAGATTCACATCTCAAGCGGGGGCTACCCATGCTAAATATGAGCCCACCAAACGGAGATACAGCGCGTCATGCTGTGTCACGATGCCCAATTGTGTCGCAATCTCCCAAATCTCCCACTACTGCACTCTCATAATTCTCACTTCCCACATCCAGCAACAACCATGAAGTTGGCTCTCACACTTGAGTGAGCAGCAGCAGATGCGGGGAGGACGAAGCAGGGATAGGGCAGTGGAGGGGGGAATCAAACCGGCAGATCGAAGGAAGGATCAGCCGAAGACAA